GAGACCTTTGAGAGTGTCGAGCTGAGCAAGGAGATCATGCGCTGGAAGCAGGTGGCCAAGCACATGGATGCCAGGGTGATGGAGGCGGAAGGCATCTTGGAAGATGCAAAGTCCGAAAAGAAGGAGGCCGAGGATCGACTGGCTTTTCTCATGCAGAAGTTGGAGGGGCAGAAGAAGCGCAAGGCGGAAGAGATGGGTGAGGCAAGTGCTGTGATCATTCCATACGCATTGCCACCTTCGAAGCCCTCTGATTGCCCGAGCTCTGCGCAGTGATCCTCGGAATGTTTTGATGTGCGAGTCGTTGCACTCCTGGTACCCTGTGACTGTGATGATGACGAGTCTAAATTGGTAGCAAGTGGCCTCGGCTAATGGCGGAGGTTGTTCAATTCTGATTCTTGTCTGTCTCCGGCCAATAAGTTTGCCATTGTTACAGCATTGCAGGGCTCCAGCCGTGAATCAATGCGGCCCCATGCGGCATAGCATCTGCCATCATAGAGTGAGTGGATACTGTGTTTTTAACATGTCAGTGCAACTCGGCAGCGCCTCATCTTTGCCCATGGCTGTAATGGCCTGACATTGATGACTCGCGCAATGTATTTTTGCAATGGGCCACAGCGGCCATGATGAGTTGAATCGAGACTGGACTTAAAAAGCGCCTCATGGCGGATGCGGGAATCTGCAATTCATCATGGTCATAACGCACCATTTACCAGCACGTGTCGCCCAGGTCCACACAATTATGCTTGTTGACGCTTTGAGGACCGTGGGGGCTTGAAGAATTGCTGCTTCAAATCACGGACAGCTTTCATTTGCTTGTGCCCTCCTGCACAGAAATAACCCTTCAGCCTCCTCCGACTAAGTGCTACACTGGCACTGGCAGGACATGGTGACAAGGATGCATGCCTGGCAGGCAGCCCAGCAATGCAGCAAAGGTAGTAGCAGACACTTCGGCCTGTGTGAATTTGACAAGGCGAAAACAGCCGGGGTGGCGTCGCAGGACGCCTGCCCCTTAGATTCGACTACTCTTTTGCCTGTAGTGGGCCTCGGAGTCGAAGAGACGCCGATGTGGCGTCGTAAGATGCCAGGCCCAACATGTGTACTTGGCAATAAGTAGTGGGCCTCGGAGTCGAAGAGACACCGATGTGGCATCGTAAGATGCCAGGCCCAACATGTCAACTGTTCTGGGGTTGCTTATTGTGATCGATTGTGACTGGCCCCGGAATCGAAGAGATTCCGGCGTGGAGTTGCAAGACTCCAGGCCAGCCACTGCCTTCGAACGATTGCGGTATTGCATGTGCATGTCTGTTGGCCTCAGCGTGCCTTCACCACGGGTTCCTGCCATGACTTATCCTACCGCCTTATCATTATCCTGGCACAAGTTCAATCCCACGTTCAACTATGTTCCATATTAGTATATGTTATGTCTTTTATTATTGTTTACTTGTTTAACCCACAGTTGACCAAAAGGTTGCTTAATATATTCATGCTTATCTGGTTCATATCGACAACTTTATGGCCGTTTTTGTACACAAAGTAAGAACTTACTGCAGATGAGAACGCCAGTGTATTGTGGAATATCAGCGGTGAATGGTAATGACGATTGTAGTTTCGATTCCGCTCCATATAATACAGATAGGATAAACGAATGACCAGTACTATTTTACCGTGTCGAGACATGGCTGGTACTGGTAATGGCTGGGATGTTATTTTATATACTAGCGTTGAATGACATTGCGTCCGCTTTGTTTCCTAGTAAGGCTAGCGCAGGGACACGGTGCCATGGTTATTTGATTGACTTCTAGCGGCGCCTTACTTAAATATGTACATATATTTGTTATGTCTTGCCAATGTTTGCCTCCTATTATATAATAGATATATTACCATACAGACCCGACACGGTTGACGGGATATGCCAAATCAGTGTTATTTAAATTAAACTTTCCGAGTAAGGAATGGAGGAATCGAACAACCGCAACGGCAATGTTACAACCAGTACAATTACAACTAGAACAACAACTACGACAACGAGTCGAGGCCAACTGCTACTACTAGTACAGTACTGCTACTACGACTACTACGACTACTCCTGCTCCTACTCATACTTCTACTGCAGTTAATACCCAGAAACCTAGGCCCGATGCTGCTGCGGCCCGCTGTCTCCGGCGCCGTGTGGCGGACTTAGCCTTCGGTTCTGCGCAGCCGGTACTAGTCTTCAGACTAAAAATAGTAGCAGCGTCTTAGCAGTAGTATTAGTCAGTAGTAGTAGAAGAATGAAGAAGAGAGTGAGTGCTAGCACACTGCCACACGGAGTAGCTGGACACAGTGCTGGGACACGGTGCCGTGTCCCGACCGTATCCGGAAAAGAAAGGAATGGGCGGGTGTGGTAGGTTTTTTGTTTTAATAATAATGATAGTATTAATATCGTTGGCCAGGAGTCTTATCAGCTGGGCACACACTCCCGGGACACGGCGCTGGGACACGGCGCTGGGACACGGCGCCGTGTCCCAGCACTGTCTCTGGTTAGGAGTAGTAGCAGTGCTAGTAGTATGACTGATTGTAATCTGTGTATATCCGTAGACTAGATGAGTATAGCTACACACGCCACCGGGACACGGCGCTGGGACACGGCGCCGTGTCCCAGCACTGTCTCTGGTTAGTAGTAGTAGCAGGGCTAGTAGTATGACTGATCGTAATCTGTGTATATCCCTAGACTAGATGAGCATAGCTACGCACGCCACCGGGACACGGCGCTGGGACACGGCGCTGGGACACGGCGCCGTGTCCCAGCACTGTCTTTAGTTAATAGTACTACCAGCTTTGTGTGCTATTACTGATTGTAATGTGTGTATATATTCGTAGTAGTATCACTAGACTAGATGAGTATAGCTACGCACGCCACCGGGACACGGCGCTGGGACACGGCGCCGTGTCCCAGCACTGTCTTTAGTTAATAGTACTACCAGCTTTGTGTGCTATTACTGATTGTAATTTGTGTATATATTCGTAGTAGTATCACTAGACTAGATGGGTATAGCTACACACGCCACCGGGACACGGCGCTGGGACACGGCGCGGTGTCCCAGCACGTGTGTCCAAACAGCAGGGAAAAAAAAAGTAGTACAGTGACAAGAAGGAGAAAATAAGCAGAACAGTGGAGGGGGCAGGAGGGAGAGTGGGCAAGGGTACGGTGGATTTTTGCCTTAGTACAATGGCAGTCGTAGTAGTGGTAGCAGTTGGGACAGCCGCCGGGAGACGGCGCGGGCACTGGTTGCAGGGGTGTGGGGCAAGGTCCATAGGCTACTCTGCGGAATGTGTGGCAGCCTTTGTCATATTATTGTTATTGTCTTAGAATAGCAGCGAGACAATAATCAATAAGCCCGAATTGGGAAAGATGAGCTTTGTCCCGCCATGCAGTGCTGCAGCAAGATGCAGCAATAATCGATATTGGCATGCTGAGCTTGCAAAGGCTGCTTCCTGGATTCCGCGGTTCGAGAGGCCCGACCGGCTGCTGCTTTTCAATCTTGGATTTGTGGTCCCGCATCAGAGTGCACTGCATTGCATTGGAAGTGCCATTAGCTGTTGTGCTCATTTGGTCTTAAGCTTAACAAGCTCACAGAAGATAATAGCGAATGCTGTAAGGCTTACGTGCTAAAACCTACCTGCGAGCAACCAGTTCTGATTCTTGACAGTAGACTCTGTCAGAAATTTTCTGCTTCAGCATAGAGCGATCGACGACCCGCCATGGTGGTCCAACGAGATGCTGTTGGCGTGAAGAAGGAGCCCAGCGTGAAGAAGGAGCCCATCGTGAAGGCGGAGCCCGGCGTGAAGAAGGAGCCCAGCGTGAAGAAGGAGCCCGGCGTGAAGGAGCCCGGCGTGAAGAAGGAGCCCGACGTGGAGAAGCTCGGAGTTGTCGTCGTGGCTGACACTGAGTCTGAGCTCGAGCAAAGAATCAGGTTGCGGAAAGAGAAGCAGCGTGAGTATGAAAAAAATCGGCCGAAACGGACTCGCGCAGCACAATCTGCAGTGGACAGCCTCACGGAGGAATTGCAAAAGAAGATGCTTTGCAGCATGCAGTCCATCATAATAGAAAAGATGTGGCAGCGGTGTCAAGGTCCAAATAGCTGTGCAAGCTGGTGCCCAGGACGGCTGAGCTGGAGAGTGCGCACGAGAGCTTGAAAGCTGCGCCACCTTGTTGCAACTTAGTCTCACAATAACATGGGCAAGGCAATCTTGTGCAAATTCTGGAGACGTGAGCTGAGTGAGATCAGATCATGCAATCCAGTGCTAGCCTAAGGAAGCAAGTGGAGCTGTGCAACAAGACTCTCTCAACTGCGCTGGAGGAGATGCAGAAGCTGCTTACGGCTGAGAAAACTCGGACGGCAGATTTGGAGAAGCAAACTCAGAATTTGCCACTTTCCTAAAATTTAAGCAATAACGGTTCCTTCGTACTGAACCGAAGCACAAGACATGGAAACCCAACACGAATGAAGCAGGCAAGAGCGTGCTGATGCGGACTCGCAGAAGCTCCATGCGAAGATTGTGGAGTTGGAAGAGGAGTTGCAGAATGCGTACTTTAGTCGCACTAGTCACTATGGTAATTATAATGCTTTGATCAGAGTTGATGTCTGTCTGTAAGCAGAGG